TCCCGGTGGAGGATCTTGGGGTCGCACTGCTCGTGCAGGTACAGGAGGCCCCTCGCCGCGCCCACCGCGATCCGCTTCCTCGTGCTCCAGTCCAGCGGAGGCTTACCTGAGGCAGACGATCACAAAGCACGCATCTTAATGCACGTCAACACCCTGTTCCAGATCGAGATCAGAGCACATGAACGGCCGCGGTAGCTCGCGGCGGTCAAACGGAGAGGGCGGCTTACGCGAACCGAACTAACCGTACTCAGCACTCTCGTACCCTCGACTGACTACTAAGCGACAAAACAGGACCCTCTAGTGGGCCCCGGTTCCAGACCGAAAGTACAGAACAAGCCCCTCACCGCGAAGCCTTAGCAGGGAAAAGGAAACGGATCCTCTCCAATTTTATACTGCAGCGACACCTTCCAATGAGCACGTTATAGCCGTCGGTTTAAGGGGCCCCACGTGATTGACGGGCAAATTTGTTCTTGCGTGCTTGCAGCAATTGGAGAGGATCGATCCTGAGGCTCGCGGAGGCCGATGGAAAAGCAGGGTACAGGGAGGAGCGTACCGCGAAGGCGGGCTGCGACGCTGCCATTGGGCATGAAGGGGTACACGAGGAGTCGCTCGCCGGCGGCAGCGCAGTAGCCGAGGAGGCGGAGTAGGTTGCGGTGGATGGCGAGGCTGATCATCTCCACTTCCGTGCGGAACTGCGCCTCGCCGTCGCCCGAGCCGACGGCGTCCGCCCGGAGCCGCTTCACCGCCACCACTGTGCCGTCAGCAAGCCGGCCCCTGTAGACGTGCCCGAACCCGCCCTTCCCAAGCACGTTTCGACAGCTGAAGTTCTCCGTCGCCGCCCGCAGCTCCCGCAGAGTGAACCGCCGCAGGTTCCCCAGCCCCCGCACCACCACCTCCTCCTCTTCCCTCTCTGTTCACGTATGCCCTCAACGTAAATTCTCCTGTAGGAGAAGAAGAACTCAATGATGATGCCACACTTACCACTCAGCCCGAGTCTCCATTGGTTCTTCTGCCGCTTTCGGCGGCAGAGGAAGAGAAACAGCGCGAGGAGGAGCAATAGCGACGAGCCGCCGACGCTGGCGCCCATCGCAATGGCTAGCTTCTTGGCCTTCGATCTCTCTGAAACACACGGGACAGCAAATTCCAGCTTAAAGGTCTAAACTTGCTGCACGTCTAAGAGATTGGTAAGATGATGAGGAGATGAATTAATTACTCTGATTTGGTGAATCCAAGAGGTAGGGAAGAGGGCTGGGGGTTGTTCGCGAGCACTCCTCCCTCCTCCGGCTTCCACATATCAGAGGATTCCCCACAATGCTGACAGATACAGAAAGTGATAAAGATGAATTAGAGACGAGTGTATGAATCGGAGAATACTTCCATTGGAGGAGAAGAGAAAGCTTACTTGAAAGTTCTGGTTGGGAACACAGGAACAGGCCCGCTGAGATTGTTGTAAGACAAGTCCCTGGAAACCAGTGAAACTTTGGTGAGTTCCAAGCTTCTAAACAGAACAGAAGACACAGCAAAATCCATTCTTTTGAGAGGAAACGGAGCGGAGTTACTTACAGGAAAGAGTCCTGTGGAATTCTTGACAGCGACTCGGGGACGACACCAGACAAACTGTTGTTGTTTAGTCGCCTGTGGTGAGGATCGAGGAAGAAAGATTAGAACAACAATTCAAAGGAAACAAAAATGCATGCTTGGCTTGGACCGATGTTGGAAATCTCCTATTCTTTCGATGGTGTTAAGGATCAAGACTGGTGAAACAGCTCACAGATATCGAAGGCTATGGAGGTGGCCCAAGGATTCGGGGACGCTGCCGTTGAAGCGGTTGTTGGATAGGTCCAAGGCCTGGAGCTTTGGAAGTAGTCCCAGCTCCGGTGGCAGCCCGCCTGATATGTTGTTGTTCTGCAACAATCTGAAGAAAGATGGAAGCAGAGTTACTCATGCAGAGGAAACAGGCATAGTGTTTTTGAGGATCGAGATGAGTAGTCTGTGAGTGTCGCTCACACTTGTTGGAGATTGGTGAGGTTCCCAATCCTCGCAGAGAGCCTTCCTGAGAGACTCTGGCTTGATGCTTCCCTACAGATAAGCACAAACGAAACCCAATATATGATCATCAGGAGGTCTCGATGTAGCTGAAGAAAGATCTTCCACAGGCAAGCACAGAAATGAAGGAGAGGAGGAGGTGGCGCGCTCACAGGCTAATAACATGATTCTCCGAGGAACAAGTGATCATCGCCCAGCTGCAGGGATCAACAGAGTCTTCGTCCCAATTGTTCAGAACCTTATGCGGATCGTGCAATTCGCTTCTAATGGCTATCAGAGCCTCCACTGGAGAGCAAGCAAGCAGATCAATCCATGGGAAAACACACGCAAGGATGGAAAGAGAAGATCCAAAAATAAGCACACACCTTCCATGTTTAGTGGCTCAAAGGAGAAGGAAACGTCGAAGGAGGAGAAGAATACGACAAGGAGATTTAAGTAGAAGCACTTGGAAGCCATCGGAGCAGCAGAGAGAATACACAGCAAAAGAGGTGGTGTTTGCTATATGTGACCAACTGGGAGAAGGGAGATGGAGGAAGGAGCATGATGGATGTGGCCTTCTGTCAGGAACCATGTCATCCCATCATGAAGAAGACCGATGATAGGAACAATGAGAGAGGGTGCCGATGAGGAAGAGGGGTCCATGATGGGGGCATGACATGGGCATAAAGCAGCAATGCATGGGGTGGGCTAATTTGGGTGTCAGAATCTGATGAAGCTCAGAAGCTTAGAGAGAGAGAGAGAGTGGGAGAGTCATGAACATGTAGCGAGCCCTCTTCCCAGAGCGACAACACTCATTGGGACAGAAGAAAAGGAGAAACAGAGAGAGAGAGAGACAGAGAGACAACTGGTAAAGGAGAAAGAAGAGAGAGAGAGATGTCATCCATTGTTTATGCATTCTTTTCTCTGCTTTGGATAAAAGTGGTGGGAGGGGATTGGATTCGGCTGGTGTTGAGCTCCATCACTGCTGTTGCTTGCTCAAATGGACTCTGCCTCCTTGTGGGACTAAAACAGCAACTTTGCACAAAGTTGGAACTTGCGTAGATTTGAATCTTGGTTTCTTGAGCTGTCTCTATTCAGAGGTTTTGTCTCCCAAGTTTCAACCAGTGATCATATTTTCCTTCTAAAAGCTTGTGAGTTGTGCTTGGTGTTGAGACTAACAAAAAAGACGAAGATAAATTGCTGAAAGTTAAGATAAATGATGCAGTTTGCTTGCTTTTCTAGAATCTAATGCAGCTTACATCACCATCACCATTCCTGTGTTTGGCAGAAGGCCACCATCTCTTGTGCTCAACGGTCAGTTTAATCTGCAAGATTGGAGCTGGACAGATTCTTCTTGTCAATCGGCTACCGATGAGAGAGAGAGAGAAAGAGAGAGAGAAGTCCAGCTCTAAAGTCCTTGTACATGAAAGCATTGCATGGTTAACCTCAGAGGATTGGCAAGAGAAGGTGTTTGTGTGTTGATCCGCGCAAAGTGATTCGCCCACGATCGACTAATCGCATGCTTTTGTTGTCAAAAGTATCAGAAAGGCAAAGTGGAGGAGAACAAAGCTAAGGTGAAGAAGAAGGCCAAGCACCTTCCTCTTCACTTTGCCATCTCCCTTTGCTGCACCTGTAAAAGTTAAAGATAAGCATGACCTTGGAATCATCTCCTTTTTTTGGGTGCTAAAACATGCTACTTTTTCCAACTTGAGATCTCTCTTATCAACCACTCTTGATGTGGAAGACCCACGATAAATACTTGATGTATGTCTAAGGAAGAAGAAGTCTTTGTTTACTTGTCTCTGCTTCTCACCATTTTCTTCTGTTGAGACTTTGTAGGTGCAGATAAAAGTTGGAACAGATCTTTGAACCATTAAAACTAGGAAGAATGGCTCTGAGAATGTAATGGTGATAGAAGTCTAGGAAGCAACTTCTCTCAAGATTATGGAGAGAGGATCATAGGAACTAGCATTGTTCTTTCTCAATGTATTTGCTACCAGTGCATCATGTCACATGAAACAGGTGATGAAGCCTATTGCAGGAAAGTTCAGCAATGGTTTTCTCCATCATAAGCACCAAAACCTCAGTCAACATAGTAGCATTGCAGATGAACCCAAGTTTGTCCACAACTATGAACAAATGGAAACATCAGTGTAGATCCTCCAAGAACAATAGAATAATCACACTGATTAGAGGAGAGTGGCTTTGTCACTAATTGGAAATGTTGGTGGACAGCATTTCTTTCTCCACTGCCAAATCCTCTGCAAGCAAAAGAATGAAACAGCTCACAGGTGACAAGAGAATCTATGCCTAACAGGTGACTAAATCTTCTCAGCTTGTGTGGGTTGTGATGGTTGTGTTCATGTGAGAGGAGGATGAACTCTTCCAGCATGCATTCATGAGAGAGGAAGAAGTGGTGATGATGAAGGATTGGTGGCAAAATGCTGCTCTGCTTTTGGTGTCAATTCCATGTTGTGATAGAAAACAACACCTTCAAATATTATGTTTATGTCTTTTAATTATTAAATAATATATAAAAATATTAGTTATTTTTTAAAGATATCATTTGACTAAACCGATAAATCTTTAAAGATATCATTTAACTTAACAGATAAAAACTTAGATTGATTGTTTGATTGTAACCACAAATTGTGTTCATCATTTAGCCATTGCCAAAAAAACTTTTATATTAATTTCTATAAATCTTTAATAACTGTAATAGAATAATAATATAATGGTTGAAATTTTCTTCTCAGAAAACAGAGAAGATGATTAGCCGATTAGATGGGGCCCACAAAGAATTGCCAGTGGATTCTTCGCTTGAAGTAGGTCTCTGGTTGGAGAGTTAGAAGGACCGTGCCTCGTTCGTTACACCGGATCCGACTAAAGGATCGGGAAGTCTCCCGTCGTTCGCGGATTCCCTCTGCGCCCTATATAAAGGCCATGCTCGTTCTCGTTCCTCGCCGCGTCCGTCTCTTCGGCTCGTCGTCGGCCCTCGTATCGTCCGCTAGGGTTTCGCGCATCCTTCTTGTTCTCTTCATCGCCTCGGCCGTTTGATTTGCTGATCCTGTCGGCTTCGATTGCGTAAGCTTTTCCTCTACTCCATCTCTGTCTTATCGTAAATATTATGCTTTGGTTTCTTGATATGTTATGATCATCACAAAATTTGCTTCGCCTGACGTTGTGGTGCCAAGCGGCCATCTTTTGTCTTTCGCCGTCTCTTTGTGCTCTGCTTTGAGGATATAACATTGGATTTGTTTCGTGGGGTGCTTTCTGATGGTAGATAAGAGAATCGTTGGTCCCTGATATGATTTAGCCTGTGTGATTATCAAGTAATTGTTGGCCGTCATGTATCGCGTTGTGTCAGCTGTAGTTACTACTCTTATGTCTCAGGGTATGATCTGCTATTTCTAGTCGCGTTTCCTGTTTACTTTTGTGACTTTCTTTTTCCCTGATTTGATTTGCATTAAGGTGGATCTTTTTGTGTGTTGTTGTCTTGTAACCTTTATTTCTGTACAGATCTTTTTATTTCTGTTTTTTCCTCAATGAATTATCCTGTAATTTAGAGAATATGTTGTTTTAATCTTTATGTTCTTATTTATTTCTCCCATTGATTTGTAATGTAGTCATCATTCAGCCTTTCCTCTTCCAAAAAATGCAGCCTTTTCAGTTCTTCTTGTATTCTTTTACAGCTTTTTTTTCGAAGTTATGTTCTCATAGTAATAATTGCTCCTTTTTTTGCTCATATTGTTAGAAATCCATATCCATTGTCTACATTTCTTTGTGGGTCTTAGAAGAATGTCTCTTCTGCTTTGTTGACGAACTTGGTCTTTATGTTGTCCATAATCTTGAAGACAAGGTGGTTGTTAGGATTAACATGTTGTTCTTCCATTGTTGCTTGCTGCAGGAGGTGCGAATGTTTTAATGGAATTTAAATCTGGGAAGAAGCAGTCTAGTAGTAGTAGCTCATTACAGTACGAAGTTCCCCTTGACTACACTGTTGAAGACGTTCGACCACACGGCGGAATCAGGAAGTTTCAGTCTGCTACATACTCCAACGTAAGAACCAAATTCTAACTATGGTTATCTTCATTTAGAATGTGGATATTAGTTTTGTTGTATGCATATGGTGTATTGATTGTTAATTTTTATCAACTTTCAATCTTTTTCAGTGTGTGAGGAAGCCATCCTGAGAGTCCTTTCGATGCTGCTTTCTTCTGTAGAGTAGGATTTCCTGTGCTTCGTTTCTGCTTTTAGACAATCTCAGCCTACCGTCTCTCAAATACTCCTTTGACCTCCCACTCCCTTTTTCCTGTCACCACGCTCACCTGTTCTTGCTTGATTCGATGGCACTCTCACTGGTCGATTCTCTCCTAGCCTCACCGATCGGTTTTGAAGGATATGAGAAGCGCCTGGAGATCACTTTCTCAGAGCCATCTATTTTTTTGGACCCCCATGGATGGGGGCTGCGTGCCCTTTCACGGCCACAGATTGACTCCATTCTGGATCTGGCACGATGTACCATTGTTTCTCAGCTCTCGAACAATGTCTTCGATTCATATGTTCTCTCTGAGTCAAGCCTGTTTATTTACCCCTATAAGTTAATCCTCAAAACTTGCGGGACTACAAAGCTCCTTCTGTCCATCCCTAGAATTCTTGAACTTGCCGCAGAGCTTTCGCTATCTATTCTGTCTGCAAGGTACTCCCGTGGGACCTTTATTTTTCCTGGTGCACAGCAGTCTCCCCACCGGAGCTTCTCCGAGGAAGTCGTTGTGCTCAATCAGTTCTTCGGTAGCCTCAAGTCAAGTGGTAATGCGTATGTGCTTGGTGGTTCAACAAATGCAAATCGCAAATGGCATATATACTATGCTACTGAGAAACCTGAGCTGCCGATGGTGACACTCGAGATGTGCATGACCGGATTGAACACTGATCGGGCGTTAATATTCTATAAGAATTCAGCAGAATGCCATAGTTCTTCCGCCAAGAAGATGACTGAGATATCTGGGATCTCTAATATTATTCCTGAGATGGAGATATGCGACTTTGAGTTCGAGCCCTGTGGCTATTCCATGAATGGGATTCATGGCCCGGCTCTCTCTACTATCCATGTGACACCTGAGAAGGGTTTCAGCTATGCCAGTTATGAAGCAATGGGGTTTAATTCTCTCACCTTGGTGTATCAGGACTTAGTTGAGAGGGTCCTTAGGTGCTTTGGCCCTTCAGAGTTCTCTGTTGCAGTTACTATCTTAGGTGACCGTGGACTAGCAGGCACTTGGGCTGAGAAGATACATCTTGATGGTTACACCTGCAAAGATAGAGTGGATCAAGAGCTACCAGGTGGTGGGCTGTCGATATACCAGATGTTTGCTGCTTCTGCTGTGACTGCGGTGTCACCAAGATCCACCCTGCCTTACTGGGAAGGCAAATATGTGGATAGGACTGCGAAAGATCATGCTAAAGGATGATGCTTTTAAAGTGAAAAGGTGATGGAGAAATAAGAAGAGTTTATGAGAGGACGATATTATTTGTCAAGTTGGCCATGCTTTAAGGGGTTCTAGTGTTTTGTGTTTCCTTTTAGCTTGTTTGGTCAAGAAGATGGCGAAAGCATAGGTATTTGCCTACACAATGATCTGAGTCTTTGCCTTGCATTGAAGTAATATGTATGTGTAGGAACACTAGTGTCAAGCATAAGCTCTAGGTGGCTTGCTGTGTCTGCCGCAATGAGCAGCATTTTCATAGACTGAATATTTGTTCTGGTGTTGTTTGGTCATCCAGAAGTTTGCAACTTGCATTAGATTGTGCCTTGGGTAACTGCAACTTGAATGACAATGCCACATGCAGTGACTTCTGATTGATGAATTGTTCAAGTACTATTTCAGGGTATGGAAATCAATATGCTACTTTAATCATGTTGTGGGCAATTCTTTGTACACACAAATCGTGAAGAAGTCTGGTTTTTATAGGAATCAGATGTCAGAAAATGGTTGTGTTTGCTGATGCTCGTTGTCTATAATGCTACTTGATGCTTGGTTATTCTGGGGAATACAATGTTAATCTTTTCTGTTCTTTGCTGGCTGATATAGTTTCACCTAAGCTGTTCTGCAGTTCATTGCTTCAGTTTTTGTGAGTCAAGATAAACAAACTTTTCAACTTATGGAAGGGTTATACGAGTCTTCTGTGCTATGTGGTCTATACCAAATCATATTACATGGGTTCGGTGAGGCTACCCAGTGGATTATTTTGCTTATCAAGTCTTCCATCTTTGTATTGTTTTGTTACCATGGAATTACTGCTGTAAGGTGACACACTAGTACGTGAAAGCATTTTTTGAAGGTTATTTTGAACAATCTAAAAGCAGCATCAATCAGGTGACATATTTTTATTCTTCTTGTTGGTCATCACATAAAAAGCATTGCTTAAGAAGAATATTAGTTTTTATTCATGTGATCCTTTAGTTGACTGAGTTCCAATTTGTTCAGGAAAAGGTTTGTTTACCATTATTATATAGAATTTGTTTTAAAGCTTATTCAGAATTTTTTCTAGATGTAATTATGGCTATAATTGGAGTGATTATAATTGTTAATAGTATTAAAAATCATTTAGTGATGCCGCTGCTGCTGATTGTTTCATTTTTTGTGGGTGCTTGTGATGTAAAATTCTTATTCATGATGGATAAATATCTAGAAATCCTACTTTAACATGAGTAGGCAAGTCTTTAGCATTCCTTGTTGATAAAGAGTATTACTTGAGTAGCTTTCTTCTTTGTTCTGGTCCAGCTTCTAAAGCAAAAAGTTTTCAATGAAATTAGCTACACTGTAGGAGGTATATATTCCTATTCTCTTGTTTGCTTGCATTAAATAAGACATCCCATCCCATGTTATAATAGATCATGCTGGCACACAGTTAAACTTTCTGAATCTTTGTTATTATGAATACTTTCCTGTATTGCTTGCATGTTTTTCTGGGTTAATAATGCTTATTCCACTGAGATGGAAATTAATCTTTTAATTTTTTTTTTCTATTTTTGTGGAAGCTGTAACTCACATATATAGTTTGCTTTTCTTGTCTCAAATACATATATAGTTTGCTTTTCTTGTCTCAAATTGGATGGTTAGAGGTCCCAGTTCCACAATATTCATGCACATGTTGCATAGGATGCATTGCAAACACTGAAGTTCCAAATTATTTCTATGTTGCTATAACTGATTATGTCAACCTATTAAACACTACTTAAGGTATAGTTTATTTTGGGTTCATTTTATAGCAGGATGGGTTAATATTTTGGTCTCCAAGTAGAAAATTATTATTTAATGCCAGCAATTAATGATGACATTTTTGACATCTTTAAGCTGGATGGCTCTTCAGCAAAGAGATTCTTATGAGAAAAAAAGTGATAGCAAGCTTAGCTTCTTGATGGTGGTGGTTAACAAAGTAAACCATTGAGACAAAAGCCTGTGATAGTAAACTTTTGGTGAATTCTTAGAGTATACTTTATTACTTTCCAAGGCTAAATTGGTTTTCAATGGGGTGGTGGCTACATCTGTAAGAACTTCCCTTCTAAAGAATGTCTCTTCAAATCTGTGTTGAGATTGGTATCTATGCTTTTTAGAAGAGACACTTGTGGCATGATAAAGAGCTGCAAGTTTGAACATGAGCACCTTTGATGATGTTAGATATGATGGGAATGTAAGGCCAACATTTTCATGATAGACTACAAGAGCATGAACTGGTATTTGAACAGTTAGCTTCAGATACAATAATGCATCCATGATGCATGATGGTCATCATCATCCCATTTTGAGATCTACACCCAAGTTGCATAGACAAGGGGGAATTACAACCCCTTGCATATTATTTTGAAGAGAGAACATAGCATATGATTATTATTTGCTTAGCTATGCTATGAAACTTGACAAAATCATTCTGTGCCTACCTAGATTGCTGTCATCCAAGGCAAGGGAAAAGAGAAACCTGAAACTATTGTGAATGAGCAATGGTTTGCAGCACCACTGTTGCTGATTCATTTCATCAATCTGCCTCTTGAAACACTCACACTGTGGCACCTGCAAGTGCTACAGAAGAGAGAACATATGACAGTAGAACATGCATCATTCTTCTTCTTGAATGGCCCACAATTGGTCTCATATTTCCTTTGAGGGCTACAATGTCAATTGGATAGCTTATTTAATGGCCACAATGCAACTTGGGGATGCCTATACTTGTATGCAAGTGAATTCAAACCCATTTTGTGCAGCAGAGTAAGTCTCAGACTGCACTGATTTCCATCCACATAGCTCTTGCAACTTTTTTCTAGCAAACAGTGGGCAGACATTACAATAGCAGCTGCTGTCACTACTGCCATGGTGACCAGTGTCTTAAAGTCTGTACTTACTGCACACACCTCATGCATTCAAAGGGTAAGAGGAAACACCCAATTAATTGCATTGCAGACTAAACCATGCCATTCTTCTCAGACCATTTGCAGTAGTAGAGCAAATGGCTAGAGAGATTGATCAACACAGAGAAGGCAGTTCCCAGAGGACTGCTGCTTTCTGCTCTATCCCCAAGGGCTAAAGCCCACAGCTCACAAGAAAGAGAGAGCAGAAGCAGAGAAGAGAAGTTTGTCCAGTAGCCCCCTACTACAAATGTGGCAGCTGACACGAGGGTGGTTTGGGTGACAAAAGATGCAAACACAGGATGAGCCTAAGAGAGAGAGAGAGAGAGAGAGAGAGAGAGAGATTGGTGTCCCCTTTCACCACCTTGTGGTGTGCTTGAGATACACATGGATAACATAGGCAGCAATGTGGGTCTAAAATATTTTTGCTAATGTTAGCCAACCAGAGCATCCAATCAACAAGGGACAAAGAGAAAGAAACCAAACAAAACATCCCACAATACAAAAGGGGAGAAGATGTGGGAAAGGAGGGGGTGGCATGATGACCATGATGCTGCCAAGCGAGACAACCCAGGCCAACCATCCACTGTCCCATCCCCTTCTTTCCACCACCACCACCACCACCAGCAACAGCAGCAGCAGCAGCAGCAGCAGCAAAGGAGAAGACAATGTTACAGGATTTGGCGACGGAAACAAGAGGCGATTACAGAACCAAATGTTGGTAATGTGAGCAAGAGTAGCCAAAAGAAACAAAGAAGAAGAAGAAGAAAGAAGAGTGATTGAGCCGCTTATGCCAATATCACAGAACCCATGAACGAACTCACGAACCTCAAAACAGGGGAGCATTGCCCGCACTTTGGGCATCCTCACCTTCGTCTTCATCTGCACTGTCGTGAGACCTCCCCTCACCCGTCCACCGCACGATGGCTGCCCTGGCGGCCACTTGCACCATTTCCATCTCTTTCCTTCCTCCTCAGTTGGCAGACCAACAAATCCTCTAACGAAGCACTGCTGCTTTGCTTAGCTTAGCTTAGCTTTCTTCCGGCCACTTTCTTCCTTCTCCTTCACCTTCACCCTCCTCTCTATAAGAAGATACGACAGAAGAGAAGAGAGGTGTTAAGAGCAAGCACTAAATCCATGTACCGTTCGTTTTGCACTGCCTCGGGTGCTCACCATGCCGGCGCTTTAATAATAATGCCTTTGCCTCGTCCTCTCCTTCCGCCCAGAAAGAAAAGAGTGTCTGAGGAAGACAACAACTCGCTCTCATCTCTCCTCCACTTTCTCTTCCTACTTTATATACATACAAAACCCAGCACAACACGCCCGACCCTGTTACAGTTCAACTCTCGAAATGACTATAAAGCCCTCGACCTTCTTAAGACATGACTCGAGATCGAGGGGCAGTTTGGGAACTCCGGGCTGAAGGAGACGTACTTCCCCCGGCTTTCACGTATGTCTCCCCCCCCCCTCTCTCTCTCTCTCTCTCTCTCTCTCTCTCGTTCGCTGCCACAGCGGCAGCCAAAGCCCACCTACTCGCTCACTGAGCTTTCAGAGGAATGGAAATGCGATGGGCGGCTTATCCATCCATCAGCTCTCCTTTTCGCCATTCAAGACGGGGTAGAGCGAGCAGTTATTGGCCTCATTTATTTCCGCTGCACTCCTTCCCTGGCTGCCTGATGCATCGTAGAAGCGTTCAACGTTATCGATCAGAGCACAACAGTAGAGAGAGAGAGAGAGAGAGAGAGAGGTGGTGTAGCTGCAGCTGCAGCTGCCTACGCCCACCCATGTGCGTGTGGGCAGGCGACCACAAGGCAACAAGACGACCACGAGATCTCCACCCGCGGGGACCACCGGCGCGACGTGGGGGAATGGCTAGATGACCACCCCCCCCCCCCCCCTCTCCCTCAGATATGGCGAGCCTTTGGTGTGCAACGGAAGCACGGGCACGCCATGGTCGGACCACCCTCCCGCGTACTAAATTACTGCAGCGGTCTCGGTGAGTACCCCCGTAGTAAAACTATTCCCCTAAGGAAAAGAAAGAAGTGGTTGATGGGAGCTTGGAATCGAGCTTCGAGGAAAGGGAGGAAGAGAGCAGCAGCAGGACGCCATTGTCTTCTACAAGGAAATGAGATGGCTACGTGGAGGACCAGACATGGAATGTCTGGAGATACAGCCAAGCTTGCCAATTCTGTCATATACACTAATCATCAGCTTCGAGATAAATATAACAAAGACGAAGGGAGAGAGAGAGAGAGATTTGAATGGCGATCGACCTTTATGGTTTTGGGCAGATCTGACGGTGTCTGAGCTCCGTCGCTTTCCATGAGATCTCTTGAGATCTACTTCCTCTGTTAAACCTGTTTCTTCCTTTCTCTCCGAGCAATCATACTGCACGCATGCAGGCAGAGTTACTCAGTCCCTGAGACGAGAAGCTAATGGAGCTGTTATCGCAGCTAAGTGGTACTCATTAGCATCCCCAAACCTTACATTCTTCTTCTTCTTCTTCTCATTGTCCTTCGTCCTTTCCACCTTCTCTCGTTCATGGAAGAAGCCCATCATTCACTGGTCCTTGCAGAGAAGTAAACCGGCCAAAACAACCAGAGAAATTTACCCTGCATGCATCATCGAGGGATTCGTTGTCGAGGGGCGTTGAGATCACACAGCGCTGCTGGTCCTCCGCAGTCCCACTCTTCTTGTCCTTATTCTTTGACCGCTTTGACCGGGGTCCGCTCACCTTCGTGTGTACGCCTACTTCCTGAGGAGGAAGAGGTGGCCATGGTTAGTGCCTTCCACGTGCTGTCCAAGGTTGGGGATGCATGAATCGATGGAGAGCAGCTGCATCGGGCAGTCGATGAACTGTTGGCTACAGGCAGGCGACCTGCTGTTGCTCCATCTCTCCACTTGCAGTGCGGTGCAGCGGGAGGGGGGGGGGAGGGGGAGCCCGCTGATCCCAGCTCCGAGGCTTGACTCCCATGTCGGTTTCTGGCCACAGCCTGCTTGGTGCTGCTCGGATTAATCCTAGAAGAATGTTACTTAGGAGTTCTTGGCCATCAAAAACCATAAGTATGCCAAGATCAAGGCATTTTCATGAATCATTTGCAGAACCAGTAGACATCAATCATAGTTTCTGTAGTCACTGGTGCATTTATACAACTCGACATATACCAGAAACTAATACAAAATTACTTTATTAACTTGGATTAATAGTTCTCACCAACAACAGCGGAGAAAGTGACAAGACATTATTTGCCGTTGGAAGAGGAAACAGTAGTACATGGTGGAGCAGAGGTCAGCCATTTTGGGAGCTAAGGCAAAGGGAGAGAGGAACGATGAGCAATAATGGAGCTGAGGACGAGAGAGAGAGAGAGAGAGAGAGAGAGAGCTTATCTAACACTAGTACTCCCCATTACAGCACCTAATATTAAAAGGATGCTCCATCCAGACATGAGATTTGCTGATAGATCTCTTCTTCAAACCAAAAAAGAAAGAGAGAGAGAGAGAGAGAGAGAGAGAGAGAGGAGG